AAAATAAATTTCTCCTCTAAAGTTTGAACAACCTCTTTTCCTTGCCACAAGTTAGAGACTTAATTTTCTACCATATGGGGTATAACATAATTTTTAGAATTATGATCTATTTCCCAAAGAAGTACCTTATGAACTTCCACTTTTAGGGAATAGAACATTGAATGAACTCCTTGAGATAGAAAATCAAGTAAGTGACTTGCTAAAGAAGGGTTGGGATCAAGGAGAGTCTTAGTCCTTGTGTTATACCTAGATTAAAATCTCTCACTTTTAATAAATACCTAGATTAGATCTCTCACTTTTAAATAAATTGTTTTCTTTCACAGGGAAGATTTGGATCTAAGGTCAGATCCTTCTCAAGAGGGAGGGTCTGATGGAGGATCATCTGAGCCATAACACATAGGGCCTTATCACACTGGGCCTCAATATACTAGGTTTCAAATAAGGCTCAAACTTGAAGGGACTGCACTTAAGGTTCAAGTCTTGGCTACAACAAAAAGGGAATATATCACTTTAGCTTCTCAAATTCGTCCAAAGCACTTCAAACACTCAAGGAGGTCCAAGGTTAAACTCTTGGTTGCAACATTTGAGAATTTTTTGGTATATAAGCTCATAAATGTAACTAAAAGTGGTCTAGGTGGGACTTGAAGCTATGAACTTCAACCATCACTTGTATAAGGAAAAATTAGTCCCACATTCCTTAGGTGGGCGAGCAAATGAGAGGGGAACAACTATATATATATCACTCCTTGTGTAACTTTTTGAATCACATTGGAATGAAGTCAAACTTTGTGTGTGGAACTTACATATTCTGCTTATATCCCGAATTGACTATTCAAGTGTCTTTGGAGATTTCTTTCTCTTATTCTCCTAACAAGGAACCTTTCTTGGAGGAGTTAGTGTAAAGTTTCTTTAGAAACTTGGGAAAGAATTTTGGTTCACCTTGGGTACTCTCGACATCATCGATGGTGGAAGGAGGGAGAATATTTCCATCATAAAGGGATCATAACATTCTTGATAAAATTGCTCAAACTTTATCATTTTGAGATAGTGTTTGTGTTTAGCTTTCTTAGCTTTTGATTTGTCATGCACCACGAATGTAAGATGGCTAGTCAACCTTGGTTTTATTACTTCAAAGGATGGATGAATTGAGGTGTACCATAGGTCCCACCACAAGAAAAATTCAAACGTACATAAAAAATTGACTTCGAATGAAACCAGTCGAAATTTGATTCTTTCTTTTGGATTGAGTTGAAGAAGCTCTTCCTTAATATTAAATTTGGGGAAAGAGAGATCTGTTGGGATAGATCGATGAAATTAAGATGATAAAAAGGCTTGACAAAGGTCGAATTGGCAAGAGAAGTGTTGAGGGATGTATGGAAAAAAATTTTACATCTTTAAATTGGAAGTCAACCACCAAAATGTGCCAAGTTAAAAAAATTCACTTTAAACTTCAATCAATTCTACTTGGAGTCTTAGAATTGGTGTTGACAATCTTCACCTCAACCACGGGCGGAACCACAATTGAATGAACCATAATGGTCGTGAGAGATTTTTGTTAGGTCGATTCGATTTTAGTTGTTAATAGCTTCGAAGAAAGACACATATACATGAGCCAAGAGCAACTTGGCTAGACAAATGGGAGGAGAACCTCTGTGGAGGAAATATGCGAGATTGAAATAATGATGAGAAATTTGAATCGGGTGGAGGCAAAATACTTGCATGCACAATCAATACACCAAGAATGTTACATGTTCCTCTTCGATCATAGAAATATCAGGGTTGTCGATGAAGTGCTCGAGCAGGAAGTAGCCATAAGCTTTTCGCTCACATCTAATCTTAACCTTGAGCTTGAGCTTATCATTAGAAGGGAAATCTAGTAAAAAATATTTTTCTACAACAAGTTTGAGACTTGGAATTGCAACAACATCGAGGAGAATGGGGTGACTGGGTCACAAGGGAGCTTCATTGCATTGAGATCCTTATTCTTGAGTTGAACTGTTGGGAGAAACATCGACATATCGAAATATCCGATGTCGTAGCGAGAAAGATGTGTGAGATAGAAAATTCCATTATTCTTCCAATGAGTTCCAAATTTGGCCTTTATCCTATCAAGTCATTTGAGATAGGATGGTTTCTTTTGGGCAAGGTCGGTGCGATAAACTTTAGATAACAAATTAATAAAATCTATTTGAATTTCTCCTTCTTGATGTTGCAAGATGGAATTCCCTTCTTTGGAAGAAGGGAAATAAGAATGTTCATTGATAGTAGGGATTAAAGGCCCCCAAAATGTATAAGGAATACCTCCAACAAAGTAAGGTATGAGTACTTGGGTTGCGCACATTTTGCTGGATTTTTCTTCCAAACCTAGGACCATAGCAAAAGTTTTCTATTCAACTTAATAAAGCCTAAATAAATAGTGGATGGACCTTGTGTAATATCCTAAATTTTGTAATCAATTATATAAATAAATTTTGTAAGTTATAAATATGTACCGAATATTATGTAGAGTTATTATAAAAATAAAACATGATTTTTATAGTAATTTTGTCTTAAGAAAATTATAAAATAAAATCCAAGGTTAATATTGTGTCAAATAATAATTTAATAATAATTCTTAATAATAAAAATTAAATAAATGAGTAAATAAATATTTAAAAAAAAAAAAAGAGAGAGAAACAGAAGGTCGGTAGTGGCCTAAATACATTTGAATTAAGTCGGTGAAGAATCGGAATTAAATTAAGGCGGTGAAGAATAAAGACAGCGAAGAAAATCCTAGAAAGAATTAAGTCAGTGAGTAAGTTTATAAATAGGAGGAAACTGGAAACATACACCAACACAATTCACGACCAACTTGAAGAATAAACCGAGATAGAAAGGAGGAAAGGAGGAGCATACAAAATTAGGAGAGTAATAAGATATTGAGGAATCAGGTATGGGTTAGACGTTTAGTTTTATTCATACGAATGTCTGTAATTGGAGATTACTATTCATCAATTGCAAAGATTGAAATATTGTTGAAATTCTTTCAATTAAGGATGAATTATATAATAAAATTGTTGTTTTTAACTTAAATTGAACATATTTATGGTTTAATTTTGATTTGGAACAAATTTGAGTGATTGAAACTGAGAAATTTGAAACTTGGATTTCGAAAATGGCGAACCGATGAAAATCTGCAAAACTCGCTCAAGCGAAAAATATGTCGCTTGAGCGAGGATACCTGGAAAATTTGGGATTCTCGGGTTCTTTATCGCTCAAGCGATAATTACATCGCTTGAGCGACTAACGGTCATGTCTCGCTCAAGCGACAAGTGTACTCGCTCGAGCGACGAAAGCTTCAAACAAAGGGGACTAAGGGTCATGTCTCGCTCAAGCGACAAGTGTACTCGCTCGAGCGACGAAAGCTTCAAACAAAGGGGACTCTCGGGTCATTACTCGCTCAAGCGACCAATGTACTCGCTTGAGCGACGAAGTCTTCAAACAAAAGGGGACTCTCGGGTTCCATCTCGCTCAAGCGACCGGTGTATTCGCTTGAGCGAGAGAAGGAAGAAGAAAGGACTAGGTGGGAATTTTTGCAAAAGATCAAGGGTAAAATCGAGATAAAGTCAAACAAGTATATTACCCCTCTTTGTTTACTAGGAAAACGACTCAATAAACGTTAGAATTTGAGGATAGTGCCTTCATCAAAGTTATAGATTATTATGTTATCTTTCCAACACAATTGGAATCATCTTAAAATGAGGTCTAGAACTCAAGATATGGACAAAACACTGAACCCTATGAAATAAATTATTAATAAAATTTGTCTTGCTTAAAACAACTATGAATTGTAATTAAAATTTTGAATATATGAAGGAGATGTTTTTAAGTATTTAATTGATGATAGATTGTTTTGTTTCATACGAGACATAAACATAGTGCATGAAATGTTTTCTGGAAGTCACAGAAAAGTTTTTACGTAAAAGTATTTGGAAATTTCTCTTAAGTTGCTACCAAGGACGGTTGGTAGGAATAATGATGTGTAAAACAGAATTTTTACATTTTCCGTGAGTCAATTTACTATCAAGAGCATCCGGTAGTGAAATATGACTATGAAAATGGCTGGCCAAATGAGACAGAGAATGAATTATTAAAAATTGAGCTACCGGAATCTCCGATAGTAAATGGGGAGTAGAATAGGTAAGACAGGACCTCCGGTCTATGGGGATGGACCTCTGGTCTAGGGAGTGTTTGGGCATGGGCAATTCCATAAGTGGCCAGTCTTTATTTGATTCTGTGCCGTGGTAGCTGCAGGTGCACCGACACTCGACCACTGTCTACTTGTTCGCGTTTAGTGGGACATTGCCGAATCACCGGACAGGGTGATGTTAAGCTCTGGTTTCACTAGACACTCAAATGAGTCTCCATGGAGCACTGAGTCAAAAATAATTTTTTTATTTTGAGTCAAAAGCATGATTTTAAAGTTTTACGTTTGGAGTCACATGTGCATATCATAAACATATTGCATGATAAAATTGTAAATTATTCATGATTTGTACGATATTCTCTATTATGATTCCATGATTTATTTATTTGTTTCTCATAATTAATTTTTAAATGAAATTATATACGGTTGTATATTTATTAGAAGGAATTTTTCATTGGTTGATTTTATCGTATGAATGTTTGCTTTATTTGTTGTGGATAAAATTAAATGTCTAACCCCATAAATATTTCAATTCCAGATGTTGGTGACGTATGATGCAGGAATACATAATTCAAGAGATAGATGTCAGATGCAAAAATCCAGAGCTTAGGATGGGAATTGTATAACATATAAGTATAACTTTATGACTTGTAATATTTTGAAAACTTTGTACTAGAACTTGTTGCTTGATTTAATATAAAACCTTACCTAAATTAATTGTTCACTTAGTATATTTTCTATTAACCTTCTATGAATATTGAAAATATTACTAACTTAGATAATAAATTAGAATTAATAAATGTAATCTGTAAAGGGGGTTACACCTTGAATTTGAGAAGCAGAGGCAGAGGAAGTCTGGTGAGAAGATGATGCCACTAAAAAGGGATAAGGGTAAGATTAGGACGAGAGCAACATTTTGAGAGAAGAGTGCAACAAAGTTGAATAGAGATGAAAGTGTAAAAGATTCAAGAAGGTTAAACGTTTTTTAAAGATACAAGTTGAAAGAAAATGATTTCTCGAGAAAAAAATTTAACCTAAAAGCAAATGGGCCTTAATTTTGGCCCACACATCATGTAAATGATGGCTTGGTAGATGATGGATATGAAGGGAGCATTTATGAAGAGAATTTTGCATTCATAGGGGGGAACGTAGGAAATGATAAGGGTATGGTAACAACAAACTATTGCAACTTTAGTGGAGTGAAAGACAAAAGAGGTTTATTTGAAAGGAACAAGAAAACGCTTTCGAGAGTTCAATTAATATTAAGAGAATGCTCACTCATCGATATCTCATTTTATATTCTCTTATGTATTTTGCTACTTACAAATTTACAAATGAATTGAAAGAATTAGTTTAAGAGATGGTAGGATTAAGAATATAAGTTTGGAAATTGAGATTGGAGAACTTGAAGGTTAAATAGTGGAAGAGAAAAATTGAAAGATGAAATTAGAGTTAGAAAGTAGAGTTGAAGACCAAATAAATTTAATAATATTATATCGAAGGAGAAAATAAAAGTCGAATGTCAGAGTAAGATAAAGGGGGAATAATTGGAAAGGAACTTCCAAATTGAGGAGAGCATAACAATAAGAGGAAATCGAGGAATTAGAGAATCAAGAGAAGATTGTTATCGAAAGGAAATTATGAAGAATCAAAAGACATATGAAATGGTTATAACCCCACAACGTGATATAGGCAGTTATAAATGCTATGTGAGATAATAGAATTACATGAAAAATGAGGAAATTGAGATTGGAGAACTCGAAGGTTAAATAGTGGAAGAGAAAAATTGAAAGACGGAGTTGGAGTTAGAAGGTAGAGTTGAAGACCAAATAAAGTTAATTATATCAAATCGAAGGATAAAAGAAAAGTCAAAGGTTAGAGTAAAATAAAGGGAATAATTGAAAATGAGCTGCCAAATCGAGGAGCGATAAGAAGAAATTGAGGAATCAGATAATCAAGAGAAGATTGTTATGGAAAAGGGAGTTATGAAGAATTAAAAGAAATATGAAACAGCTTATAATCCCACGACATGATATGGGCAGATTATAAATGCTACATGAGATAATAAAATTACTTGAAAAATGAGAAAATTGAGATTGGAGAACTCAAAGGTTAAATAGTGGAAGAGAAAAATTGAAAAATGAAATTGGAGTTAGAAGGTAGAATTAAAGATTAAATAAAGTTAATTATATTAAATCAAAGGAGAAAAGAAAAGTCGAAGGTCAGAGCAAGATAAAGGGAATAATTAGAAAGGAACTTCCAAATCGAGAATGACATAATGATAAGAAGAAATCAAGAAATCAAATAATCAAATTGAAAGGGAGTTATGAAGAATCAAAAGAAATATGAAACGGTTATAATTTCACGACGTGATATAAACAATTATAAATGCTATGTGGAAAAATAGAATTACTTGAAAAATGAAAGAAAAGTAGAAATGGAAATTATTTTTATTTTATTTTATTTCTATTTATCGTTAGCAATTATAAATAATGATAATAATATAAAGAGGTGAATAAATGAAAAAAAAAGTTATGATAAATTGTATTAAGATATTTATATCCTAAAAAATATTATGAACAAATAAAATTATTTTAATAGAATTATTTGTAGTTTGAATCACTACTTATTTTGATTTCGTGTTTTAGTTTCTCTTTTATTGTTAAACATTTATATTTCCAATATTTTACATTTCTTATAATTTACGTTCCTTATATTTTATATTTATTGTCATTTATATTTCCAACCATTTATCAAAATAGTTTATTTTTTCAGCTCTTTAAATCTTAAATTTTGATTATTTCTTGTTCTGTTAATGAATTCTCATTAAATAATTAAATAATATTTGAACTAATTAAAATTTAAATTTATAATCACGTAGATAATTTTTTAAGTTTAATTGAAATATTTTTTAAATTAAAAAGTGTTACTTATTAATGTAAACAAAAAGAATCCATAATATTAAAGATATTAATTCAAATAAGCTTATTAGAGTATATCAAACTATTTTTTACCATAAATAATAATAAAATAAGTTGTTTAGTAAGAAAATTAAAAAATAAAACGCAGGGCACTGGTTAGAAATAGATATTAGCAAATGTGGCAAGGTTTAAGGATTGAAAAGACAACATCAACACGTCGCTGTCGAGTACAGTGCGCAACAAACATATCTAGCACAAGATTCGCTTATGCCCAAACATGCGATGCATAGGACACTTCGATTCGTTGATTGGTGCAACGTTAAGATTTTACAAGATTTATGTCCCATGCTTCTGACACGCGTCGCAGTCTGGCTTCGAAAAGTTGATGGTGTTCGTTGCGTTCTCATTGGGGCGTGGCGAACACGCGCTCTGACTCGAGATTATGATGCGAGGTGATCTTGGGCAACAACTTTCCAGATGAATTGACACGTGGTTGGCCAATAGAACCCAATTACGTGTCCACATTCTCCAAACTCATCATCCATTGCAAACTCTCTTTTATTTACTTCACCTAATGTACAACCCCACCCAATCATATATTTTGATTTCAGTACGAAAATATTTAATTATATGTTTTAGAGTTAAATATATTTTTAATTCTGTCTTTTCATAAAAAAATTATTATTAATATTATAAAATTACAAATTATTTTTATTCTAGTATGGAATTTGTTTGTTTACATTTTGAAAATTAATTATTAATAAGTGATTCTTATATAAATGGAGCTTATATGATTTTTTTATAAGAAATAATGTTTCTCTCTTTCTTTTACGTATTTACTTTTTTTTTATTGAAATTAATTTTAAGTTACTTCCATGATAAATATAATTTTTTTATTCTTTTTAAACAAGTTTATCTAAACAAATTAAAAATTATAATAAATTATTATTTTATTTTATTTTTTAAATTAAGATTGGGCAAAGGTTAACAAACTAATTCAAGTTATTTATAATAATGTGTATGGTATATAATATGAGGTGACATTTAAAAAATCTTTTAAGATTTGTAAAATGATTATTTATTTACTTTAAAATAAATATTATATATTAAAAAATAATTTATTTATTTTTAGGAACAAAAATTAAAAAAATATTTTATAAAGATTAAAATAGTTATTTTATATTTTATAAGAAAGTAATCTTAATAAAAGAATATTCGAATGAAAATTACTAGTATTTGGTATCATATACATTAAAATTAAAATTTGTTAATTTTAGAAAAATTTAAAATTTATTTAAATTTATATATATATATATATATATATATATATATATTTATATAAAAAGTTAGTCTAGATGTATTGTGTAATAGTACATAAAAAACTCTAACTGTGATATAGTATTAGTAACACTTCAAAATCAAACATAAGATACTTGAAAGCAATGCACAACGTGAACATAGCACAATCCTCCAATCCAAGGTCATTCCCTTACTAATGTAGACTTTTAGCACACATAATCCAACTCAAGAAAACCCAATGGTCATCATAGTGTTCATTGTAATTGTAAGGTGAGAAAGACATTGATAAATTAAGAAATTAGTTTGGTTGACATGTTATAGTACTCGACCTTTCTAAAATTAAACATTTCATCTAACTTGATCATACCATATTTAGACTTATTCACTGCTACAGATATGCATTTCAACGTCGGTTAAATAAGGCTTTCAACATCGGTTATACAACCGACGTTGTATGAGACGACGTTGAAAGTATAAACTTTCAACGTCGGTTATTTATACCCGACGTTGATAGTTTAGGCTTTCAACGTCGGTTATTCATACCCGACGTTGAAAGTGTACACTCGTCGCTCAAGCGAGTACACTCGTCGCTCAAACGAAATAGAACCGAGAGTCCCCTTGTTTGAAGCACTCGTCGCTCAAGCGAGTACACTCGTCGCTCAAGCGAAATAGAACCAAGGATACCCTTTGTTTGAAGCTTTCGTCGCTTAAGCGAGTACAGTCGTCGCTCAAGCGATATGGAACCCGAGAGTCCCCTTTTTTTGAATCTTTCGTCGCTTAAGCGAGTACACTCGTCGCTCAAGCGAGATGGAACCCGAGAGTCCCCTTTGTTTGAAGCTGTCGTCGCTTAAGCGAGTACACTCTTCGCTCAAGCGAGTTGGAACCCGAGAGTCCCCTTTGTTTGAAGCTTTCGTCGCTCAAGCGAGAACACTCGTCGCTCAAGCGAGTATGGGTTTACTACGTCGGTTATGGTATGAACCGACGTAGAAAGTCTATTTTTTTTTAAATGGACGATTTGTTTATACTAGGGTACCCAATGTTTGTATATATACATACCTGCAAATTTGAATACAACCCAGGCAGACAATGTACAAGATATAAACAATTGAATGTGCATCCAAAAATAAAATTGTATCCAAAATTATTGTGTATCCAACTACTTATCTACCAAATACACTAACTACTAATCTAACTAATGAACTATCTAGTAAACTAACTAGTAAAGTAACTAAACTAACTACTAAACTAACTACTAAACTAACTACTAAATTAATAACTAAACTTGCCTACTTCTAACTTTAACAAACTTATCGGCCCATGTGTTTCTAATATCGTCAATGGTCTCTATGGGCAATGCTTCCCTGTCTGAAAATACCTGTTACAAGAAAAAAGATAATTTAACAGAATATCCAATGACACAATACTCGGGTCTTTTATTGAATACTAAATTTAAGCAAACCTGATTCCATGTATCCTCAATCTTGCTAACAACAATCGACCACATCCAAGTGCATAACATAATATCCGCACTCATAAGATCCTGGTTGCCTATTACACTACAAAAAATAATATATTAATTTGACATATAAAATGAATGATATAATACATAAATATAAAATGACTTACATTAACAAAAATCCAATCTGAGTCGTGCTTTTGCTTGTGTGTACTCCATCAATTGTATTGCAAACCTTAAATGCAATGTGCAATACAAGATATAATGAAACAATTAAGTAACAAAACAATTAATAATTGTTTAAATTATTATAAGAATGTGTACCTGTTTACAATGTTTTTAAGATCTGCATCAGGTTTCTTGCCCAAGTGAGCGGAACCAAGCCACAACATTCTGCTTTGGGCAAACAACCAACAACCGCCAATGATTTCTGCTTACATTACAAAAAGTTAGGATAATACAATACACTATAAAATTTAATGCGAATAATTTCATACGCTTAAATACTTACCGATGGTGGTAAGCACCCAAGTAAACTTTCTTCCTTGACTTCATCATCCAATTTTGGATGTATATTTGAACTTCTTCTCTCTTGTTTCCTGATTTTTGTATGGATTGGGGCTCAAAAAATCCATACACATCTTGGGTGCGTTGTTCCTCCGACAATTCATTCATCATCCTAAAGTAGCCAGTTCAATGTACATTAAATATGACGATAACTTCAAATAACATAATTAGTAAATAAAAATAAATACTTACATTGTCCAAAATTGTAACACTGCTATGTTTAGACACCGATTGCCAACTACTATCTCCACAAGCATCGGTGTGGTCAATGTAAAGGGGAAAGTTCTTATTGTCTACCCCTAACTTATCAACATCCCACTTCACTTGAAAAGATTCAATATACAACTATGGGACAATAGATAGTAGTTGAAAAATTGGATTTTCTCGGGACATCTACTTCCTTACCTTTACTAGTATGGGAAGTAGGAACCAGTTTAGGCAAGCTGGGGTGGCTTCTGAACATCCTACATAAAATAACATTGACTTGAGAAATAATAAAAAATAGTACCAGACTACATATGATAATTAACAGAAAGTATATGCAAACCTTTTTCAAAATAGGCCTGATTAGATGTCTAGGCCATGCAATGAAGGTCTGGAGGGCCTGTCCCACTGTCATCACCTCGTCTGTGGGCACAGGTACAAGAGCATAAGCATCTCGAACCTCTTCAATGACCACTTTGGCCATGTTAGGTGCTAAAGGCACACTATGAATTGTAGAGGCCCCCTCTTCAATTGAACCAACCGCCACCAATCGTGGTTCAGATCCATCCTCATCAACATAAAATTCACACTGACCTGATTACACAAAAATAAGACATTAATTATTTAATATGCACATGACTTTTTGTCATTAAGATATCATCCACACAAAATAACATTGCATGTAACTTGAAGCTCTGCTGTTGATATGCATCAAACACATCCACTCCTTCCTCCCACAATAGCCTTAAGTCATCTATTAACGGACTTAGATAAACATCTATGTCATTACCCGGCTGTCTTGGACCTGCAATCATGATGGATAACATCACGTACTTGCGCTTGAAAATCAACCATTGTGGAAGGTTGTAAATCACTAAAAGAACTGGCCATGAGTTGTGATTACTGGTTAAGTTACCAAAAGGATTCATGCCGTCTGTGGCTAGTCCAAGTCTAACATTTCTTGCATCACTGCCAAAACTTGGAAATAGGCAGTCAATTTTCTTCCACTGTGGAGAATCGGCCGGATGACGAAGCAATCCATCACGTTTTTCTGCAGTTGAATGTCATATCATATTCTTGGCATCTTCTCCATTGGCAAACAATCGCTTCAATCTTGGAATAATTGGAAGATACCATATAACTTTTGCAGGAGGTCTCTTTCTATCAATATATTCGCTATTATCATCCTTGTCTTTCAATTTGTAACGCGATACACCACATCTTGGACACTCATGTAGGCTTTCAAACTCTTTTCTGTATAATACACAATCATTAGGGCAAGCATGTATCTTTTTATACTCTAAACCCATTGGACAAAGTATTTTTTTGGCTTCATACATACCATCAGGCAAGGTGTTATCGCTTGGGAGCATATCTTTCAAAACTTCTAGTAACTCAGTGAAACTTTTGTCACTCCAACCAAATTTGGCCTTCAAATTGACCAATCTCAATACAGCTGACAATCGCGTGAATGTTGTACATCCAGCATACAAAGGTATCTCTGAATCTATCTTCAATTTATCATAGACAGCAGCATGTGCTTGCAGAAAATTCTCTTGACCTACATCACGAATCATGTCTTCTATTCAATCTTCCATTGTCATGTCCTCCTCTTCCTCAACTTGTGTTACTATTGGTGTATCAATCACTTCACCATGCCATGTCCATACCATATAATTCTTCATTATCCCATCACATAAAAGATGTTCCCGTATTGTCTCTAGTGTGTGTACTCTCCCATTAACGCAGTTAACGCATGGACAATACAATTTTCCATTAACCTTGGTGCCATTGTGTTCGGCAAATCGCAAAAATTCTTCAACTCCATTCTCATACTCTTGTGAAATACGACTTGCATTTACCCAACTTCGATCCATTTTGGAATTGGATTCTACAAATGAGAAACCAATAAAACTACATTGTTACTACG